CAATGTATATTGTGTACATTTTTACACACATATAGTATACAAGGCTATTATACAAGTCTATGTGGGAGGATGTGTTCCCGATACAACTCCTCCAAAGTACCTGAGAAATACTTTCTGTTTTGCCTGCTCAGGGTGCTATAAAAGAATGGATAGGGAGATATAGGGAGAGAAAATTTTAGCACCATCCTTGCTGTGCCCAGCCTGGAAGATGCTATTATTACTCCAATATCTTTTTTTTTCCTTCCATGATTGTGTCCATTCAGGCTGCCAAAACAAAAATTCCAGAGACTGAGTGGCCTAAACAACATTTATTTCTCACAGTTCTGGAGGCCGAGAAGTTGAAGATCAAGGCACTAGCAGATTCAGTGTGTGGTGAGGAACTTCTTCCTGGCTCATAATGGCCATTTTCTTGCTTGTCCTCAAATGATTGAAAGAGAGAAGGAGCTCCCTGGGTCTCTTTGGTAAGGGCACTAATTCCATTCATGAGAACCCCATCCTCATGGCTTAATTATTTCCCAAAGGCTCCATTTCCTATTACCATCACCCTGGGGGTTAGGATTTCAAAATATGAATTTGTTGGGAGGAGGGGAACACAGTGAGTCCATAGGAGATTGTTTCTCATCTGTCACTGAAATATTCTCTCTGTGTAGTACCCTCCTCCTTGTGGCAGAGCTTAGTTAATTAAATAGAGGCTTGGTGTTGTTTAACTATTTCATGCCTATTACATATGGTCTAGTTAGGGCAATGTGAAACCAACATCCCAATTATATTTGTTTTCAAATTTTTGGTAGAACAAGACAAGAATAGATATTTCCCTAAAATAACAAGCATGATGAAATATGTTTTTTAGGAGTTGCCATTAGGAATTCTCTCATTTAAAAATTCCAAACCAACTTTTTAATGTATGTCTTCTACTTTAAGTTTTAATTAGAGTTCCCATATGGACCTGTGTGTGCTTATATCTGTCATGTGGCTTTTAAGTGATCACATTTGAATTGTCACTTAGTTCTGACTCTCAGAGGACCAGAGCAATAGCATGTCACCACAGTAGGATCCAGTCTGATGACAAAGGATGCCTTCTGGGCAGTAACACATGAACTCAAGTGTTGAAAACTACAGTGTGCTGGTCTTTAATGATGTACACACATCTTTCCCCCAGCCGGCCTCATATTTCCATGGTTCCTTTCTCCAGATGCAGACACTTTTCTTATTTCATCTATGTGGTGGGAATCCGAATTTATAGTCATTTAAGCTAAGGCCCTGTAATAGTAACTTTATCCTCCAATGGTCTTGAAAAAAGAATGCACACTTTCTTGTGTTTTATTTTCTATATCCTGCAGGTACAATATTTTTTGGTTGATTACTTTCTTCTGCATGGGTTACATTAAAAATCTTTACCTTGAAAGCCCATGTAATCACAATTTTTTTTTCAATATGGGCTCTACTTTGAAATTTACTTTTTTTTTTTTTTCTTTTTCATTTTCTGTACCTATCCTCATTTTGTTGGAACAAGATAGGATAGGTTTATATGCCAAAATTTGGAACCTCATTTCTGAAGTACTCAATTTCTAATACCAAAACATAGCCATGTAGCCCTCGAGCAGATGAAAGGCACCAATGATACAAATTTATTTATTGTTTATTTAGTTTTTGAGATGGTGTCTCGCTCTGTCATCCAGGCTGGAGTGCAGTGGCACCATCTTGGCTCATTGCAGCCTCTGCCTCCTGAGTTCAAGTGATTCTCCTGCCTCAGCCTCCCAAATAGCTGGGATCACACGTGCACACCACCACGCTCATCTAATGTTTTGTATTTTTAGTAGAAATGGGGTTTCACCATATTGGCTAGGCTGGTCTCGAACTCCTGACCTCAGGTGATCCTCCCACCTTGGTCTCACAAAGTGCTGGGATTACAGGCGTAGACCACCATGCCCGGCCCAATGATACACTTTCACTTAACTTCTGCTTTTGCTTCCTACCCGCAAATGACATTTGACCTTTTACAGAGATATAAACTGAGCTCATTTTTAACTTGTATTTAACAAAGATACAATTAGTTTCTCAAGAGCAATTCAACGTATCTTATTGAGGAATAATGCCCACAATTTTAACACAACTACTTATTCCGTAGATTGTACTACTTCTCTTTTTAGGTTGCAGATATGTTATTGCTTGCAGCATTTTGTTCGTTGGATTCTTTGCATTTTCTCAGTGCATACCAGTCTTTTCAAAAAAAAATTACATTCTATAATTTGGGTGCTCTGTATATTGTTCTTACTAGAGCTTTGTTTTGTTGTTGTTATTGTTGTTGTTGAGACAGTATCTCGCTCTATCACTCAGGCTGGAGTGTGGTGGTACAATCACAGCTCACTGCAGCCTTGACTTCCAGGGCTCAAGTGATCCTCCCATGTCAGCCTCAAGTAGCCGGGACCACAGGCACACACTACCATGCCTAGCTAATTTTTAAATTTTTGTAGAATTGGGGTCTCACTCTGTTACCGGGGCTGGTCTCAAATTTCTGGCCTCTCACGTGATCCTCTTGCCTCAGCTTCCCAATGTGCTGGGATTACAGGCATGAGCCACTGTGTGCAGCCTTACTAGAACATTTACTGTACGTTTTATAGCCCTCCTGAGAGCTACAATTTCAATTATTCCTTATTAATGTATGCCTTCTACTTTAAGTTTTAAATTAGAGTTCCCATATGAACCTATGTGTGCTTGTATCTGTCATGTCAGACCTGACATTTCATCTGTTCTCCTTCGTGGAACCCAGGAGAATGGGGCGGCATCTCCAGCCTCCCAATGCTGAGGAATAATGGGGCTCTTCCCATTTCACCCCTCCCTTTCTCCCCTGCCTCCAGGAGTGGGCCACCTCTGCATGGGGCAGCAGGTCCCAATTCAGCTCACACTGAGAATGTAAGAACTACAAACAAAATTTCTATTGAATTTTGTGTCTTAAAAAAGAGAGAGAGAGAGAGAGAGAAGGGGACCAAGGAACTCCCTTCCCTACACATGCTGGTAACCATGGGCCTGTGAGGCTCTGCTCCGGCTTTTTTCCTTTGTTGTGCTTATCCATTTCTGCGTAATAGATTACCCAAATACTCAATGGCTTGAAGGTGACCATTCCATTTCTTACCATTCCTGTGGGTCAGGAATTTTGGAAGGGCTTGACTAGGCAGTTCTAGCTTAGCATCTTTCAGTGCAGTTGCAGTCAGATGGTGATAGGTGTTGGAGCAGCTGTGGACTGGCCCACCATCTGTTTTTCTTCCTGAAATCTTGAGCCTCCCCATCATGGTCACTCAATGTGAGTTGGTTTGGGCTTCCTTATGGCATGGCTGCCTCAGGACAGCTGGACTGCTTATTTGATGGTTCAGGGCTCAGGCACAAGATAGGACCTGCAATACACTTTATGATTTAACCTTGAAAGTCACAAAACATCACTTCTGCTGCATTTTATTGGTTATAAAAGAGTCAGAAACTCATCAAGTTTCAAGGGAAGGCCAGTTGAAGCCAACCTTCAATGAAGGAGTGGCAAGATTCTAGAAAAGCATGTTAGTCAAGAAACATTGTGTGGCCTTCTTTGGAAAATATATTTTTGTACATCCCTAGACACTCTGGTTATTTGCACAAACTGTTTATGTAAATAAAGCTGCATGACACTGTCATCAGCCAACAGATACTTAGTAAACATTGACTCCGTCCAGGTTGTATGCTAAGCCTGAGACTTCAAAGGTGAAAAGTCCTTATCTTAGAGCTTAAGGAGTTAAGATCCTGTTAGTGGACATAGATACATAAATAACAAGTTATAGTATCATTTGATCAGTGCTATAAATGAGGTACAGGGTACAGTGGTGCATGGAAGAATGAATACATTGAATAAGTATTTCCTGAAATAAGTACCTCCCTTTCTCCATGTGAGATACCCTGGGGTGACAAGCTCTGTGGTTCCGGGTCGGGGGGATGAGAAAAAGACACTGCCCCTGAGCTCCTTGAACTTACCGTCCAGGAAGGAGTGAGGAACTCCAACCACCACCGTTGAGATGGGACTGAACTCTCAAGTTTGTATCATGTTACAAAATCAGGGCTATCAATGTGGAAATTTTGCTCTTAATATTTCAAAACATATAGTAATTGCTATATTTTAAAAGGACTTTAATGGCTTCCTTGAGAAAATGTAAATGAGCACTTTGTACATTACATTTCTAGACTTTCTTTTGCTGGCATAACAGCAAGAATTCAAGTGAGAGGTTATGAAATGAGTAGACAGAAGAGTATTCCTGGTGAGAAAAATTTACTGTTCCTTTATATTATAATATTGATACAGATTGAGTATCACTTTTCTGAAATGTTTGGGACCAAAAGTGTTTGGGATTTTGAATTTTTTCAGAGTTTGGAATACTTGCATTATACCAGTTGAGCATCCCAAATCCAAAAAATCCAAAAATGCTCCAATGAGCATTTCCTTCGAGTGTAATGTTGGCACTCAAAAAGTTTCAAGTTTGGGGGATTTTAGATTTTAAATGTTCAGATTTCAGACACTCAACCTGTAAACGCAACTTTTTCTTTCTCTCCTGTTAAACCAAATCATCTCAATACTAGAACATGTATCTTATCACACTTGCCTTTTTCTAAATTTCACAGTTAACACATAAATGTTGAAGGCCTCAAACGTTCAATCTGCAACCAATGTTAAATCCAACATGAACTTTCATTTTCACCCTTGACAAAGCGGTTTATCATCCTGCTTGGAGAGAGAGGTTCATACATCATTGAAAACTTCACTGTTTTTCTTTCTGAAATCTTGAGCCTCACCATCATGGTCACTCTGTATGAGTTGATTTGGGCTTCCTCACGGTGCTGTACAGAAGGCGGTATTCCACACATGGGTATACAGAAGATCCCATGTCAAGAAGAAGTTATTCCACTTTAGAGAAAGCTCCAGTCAGGTTGATGTGATCGAAACAGACTAATTCATGTTAAATGCTGTGTTAACTGTCTTGCAGGTTCTTCATTCCTTTACTGACGCCATCTTTGATGAGTGGATGAAAAGATTTAATCCTCCTGCAGATGCCTGGCCTCAGGAGCTGGCCCCTATTGGTCACAATCGGATGTACAACATGGTTCCTTTCTTCCCTCCAGTGACGAATGAAGAACTCTTTTTAACCGCAGACCAGCTTGGCTACAGCTATGCCATTGATCTGCCAGGTAACTAACACAACTTCTAAATGGGTGATTCATTCATCATCTAAAGGAGCTAGCTTGCTTTCTTTCTTTTTAATGTAAACCAAGACCTTTAACTGAAGCTTTCAGGTCTAGTTAGGTTTATTGACCATTTTTCTAGCATATGCGTATTTAGCAAAACGAGCCTTTAAACTACCAATTAAACATCAGAAAGGGACTAATGAGCTGACTCTTGTTTTAGAAAACTGAAAGTTTTTAATACTTCTTATTAAAGGAACTATCTACTTCTACACCTGACTTGACAATTCTCTCTGAATTAGTTGGATTAATAAAAAGCCTCTTTATGGTTGTTTCAAATTTCTAACCAATGAAGTAAACAGGCCTGCCTCAAGGAATAATCTCTAAATCCAGCTAGTCCCTGTACAGTGTATCTGCCCAAAGTCTCAGCCTAGAAAACAATCAAGATGATTTCAGAGCTCAGTCTCTCCCTCTTTGACCTGAGTCTTTCAAGCCTGGTTGTAGTGGGATGCTTGGGCAGAGGATTACGTCAAATCAAGTTCAAATTTATGAAAGAGCCTAGGTACAGAGGGCCTTAGATGCCAGGCAGAAACTCCAATAAGATACCACCTCATACCCATTGGGATGACTGCTATCAAAAAAATAGAAAATAGTAAGTGTTGCCGAGGCTGTAGAGAAATTGGAATCCTTGTGCATTGCTGGTGGGAATGTAAAATGATGCAGCCACTATGGAAAACAGTATGGGGATTCCTCAAAAAAAATGGAACAAAGAATTACCCTATGACCCAGCAATTACACTTCTGGGTATACCTAAAAGAACTGAAAGCAAGGTCTAGCAGAGATATTTGCACACCCATGTTCATAGCAGCATCATTTACAATAGCCAAAAAGTAGAAGCAGCCCAAGTGTCCATCGTGGATGAATGAATAGACAAAAGGTGGCGTATACATACAATGGAATATTATTCAGCCTCAAAAAGAAAGGAGATTCTGATACATGCCACAACATGGATGAACCTTGAGGGCGTTAAGCTAACTTTAATAAGCCAGACATAAAAACAAATACTGCATGACTCCACTTATATGAGACTATGAGATAGTGAAATTCACAGCGGTTACCAGGGGTTGGGAGGGGAAAATAGGGAGTTACTGTTTGGTGGGCACAATGTATCAGTTTTACAAGATGAAAAGGTTCTGAGAATGGATGGTGCTAATGGTCGCACAACAATGTGAATGTACGTAATGCCACTGCACTGCATATCTCTACTAGACCTTGCTTTCAGTTCTTTTAGGTATACCCAGAAGTGTAATTGCTGCGTCATAGGGTAATTCTTTGTTCCATTTTTTTGAGGAATCCCCACACTGTTTTCCATAGTGGCTGCACCGTTTTACATTCCCACCAGCAATGCACAAGGATTCCAATTTCTCTACAGCCTCAACAACACTTACTGTTTTCAAGGTGGTCAAATTTATGTTACGTGTATGTTACCACAATTTCTGAAACATAATTTTTTTAAAAACTAGCCAGATGATTTGGACAAAAGCAAAAGGCAACCATTTTTGGGTCTTGAACAAAGAAATGGCAGAATCAAAATATCTGTGTTTTAAGAAGATGAAGTTGGCAATAGGTGCTGCTGGATTGAAGCGGGAGGAGACAGATCAAAACCCTCTTGGAGGAATCCCATCAGGACAGGTCAGGACCTCCCGGGGGATTGCAGAAAAAGGACTAGAAAGAGAATCTTATATTTAGGTGAGTGTAAGCTATAGAAAAATTCAGAAGAGCTGAAATTAAGAACAGTTGGCCAAAGAGAATATAATTTTTAAAATAAATGACAAATAGGCATACATATATTAAAAATGAAATGTGGCCAGGCGCAGTGGCTCACAACTGTAATCCCAGCACTTTGGGAGGCCGAGGCAGGTGGATCACCTGCAGTCAGGAGTTTGAGGCCAGCCTGGCCAGTGTGGCGAAACCCTGTCTCTACTAAAAATACAAAAATTAGCTGAGCATGGTGGCGGGTGCCTGTAATCCCAGTGACTCGGGAGGCTGTGCCAGGAGAATCACTTGAACCCGGGAGGCAGAGGTTGCAGTGAGCCGAGATCACGCCACTGTACTCCAGCCTGGCGACAGAGCGAGACTCCGTCTTAAAACAAAACAAAACAAACAAAGAAAAAACCCCAAAAATGAAATCTACCAATGTTGTGGAAGAGTGCTTATAAAATATGTTTGAATAGAGGACTGGATTTATCATGTGGGAGATTGACATTTTATTCACAGCTATTCAAATGGGTATAAATATCTGCTTGTTTATTGAATGTCTCCTAGTGTAACAACCAGTCTGATCCCTCTCACAGGCTTATCATTCTATAAAAAAGGTGGAGACAGTAGCAGAATTTCTCTACCCGAGGGTTGTATATTTTGCAGCTCCCCAGATGCCATTTTAGCATGCACTTTTACAAATGAGTTTCTAACTCACAAAAGTAGTTACATTCCTCCTTAGAGGGTTTCTTCCGCATAAGCATTTATTGTAACAAATTTTTAAAATGCAATAAGCTGTATTTAAGTAATGGGATGCCATTTCCGACTTCCCCAAGAAAAACAATTGTGGATATGATAAATAGTGAGAAAGGAGAAGATAAATTTTAGTCTAGCAAGAGTAGTTTTGCTTTATCAACAAAAAAGCATGTGAAAGCCAAGTGCGCTTGCTCTTTTTCTCTTCTGAAAGTATTCAGCTGATGAAAATGCTGACGGTAGACCCTTCTCTTCTGCTTTAGTTTCAGTTGAAGAAACTCCAGGTTGGCCCACAACCCTCTCAGTGGTCATGGGAACACTGGTGGCTTTGGTTGGTCTTTTTGTGCTGCTGGCCTTTCTTCAATATAGAAGACTTCGAAAAGGATATACACCCCTAATGGAGACACATTTAAGCAGCAAGAGATACACAGAAGAAGCCTAGCGTGCTCATGGCTTACCTAAGAGAAGAGGCTGGCCAACCCATAGTTCTGACCCTGACAGTAAAGGAACTAATCCTCACTGTTCCTTCTCGAGTTGAAGATCTTTGCCATAGGTTCTTCTACAGTGATGATGATCTCATTCAGAAGATGCTTAGCTGTAGTTTCCACTTTGCTTGCTTGTTTAACAAACCCAAACTAACGTGCTTGAGGCTACCTCTATCTTCAAATAAAGGTAGACCTGACAGTTTATGATATCTGATAATAATCCCCCATATTGATTAAGCCTCCTCCTTTTCTGAAAGCATTTTAAAAAACAAAAAAATCCCAAAACATTGATCTGGGGGAGTCATTTAAATTTGCAGGTCAGTGCAATTTGAGACCTGGCCAAGACCATGCATCAATCTTTCTTAGCCCCAGTGTCTTTATTGGTAATGGCATGGAGGTGGGAGGTGGTAGGTGCTAGATGAATCTCCAAGATCCCTTTAAGCTATAAACATCTCTGCTTCTAGGTACCCTCCTGATTATCTTTCTTGGGCTTATTTTTCTTCTGTCCTCTATCTTTTTCCTCTCCAGCTTAGAAGATGAGAATAAGCCTTGTTTTCTTTACAGGACAGAAAATGACTAAATGAAGGATCAATTCCGCTCTATTGTGTAAATTAGATTTTACAGATTTTACTTAAAATCTGCAGTTTTAAACAGTAGACCTATATTACAGGATTCAATAGCTAGATACACATTGATTCTATAGTGATAAATAGAGAAGATAATAAAATCATAGAGCTTCCTGGTTTGTTGATATACTACTGTAAACCTATAACAAATACAGAATTCCTCTTTCCAAGAAAGGCTGACTGAAGGCTGGCGAGGCTATAAACCTGAACATGAGACAATTTGACCTGAGTCCTATTAGTCTGAGGTCTCTTTGGCTGATCCTGAACCAATGTCTTTACTAGGTAACCTCAGATGAAAAATTATTCCCACATAATGCACTTGGCTTATTTTTAAGCATTGATGTTAGATTCATTAATGTTGCAGTATACTCACAGTTACTTACGAATGCTGACCAATTAAGCCTTATTTGAAAGCAAACCATCTGTACAAAACATGGCAATTCAGAATTAAGTGGTTATATTCTGCTATGCAATCATCAGATCATGAGAAATAAGAATGAGGCAATCTTTACTACGATGTTCAGACTTATCATGATGGACCCCACTTCAGAGAAGTTAATGGCTCTTGAGATTTCCATGCAAATTTCATCTGCTCATATCTGGTTTCTGTGCATCAGGAGTGAGACTGAAGTTCTAGGGCGTGGTTTGTCTGTCGGGGTCCCTCTCTACTGGAATGAATGAATGTAAAGAATGGGTGTTAAGAGGTCCCCGGAGCTGCCTTCTACATAAAGGGGGCCTAGAGAGTGCAAGACTCACCAAGAACCAGTTTTCCCCCTGCAATAGGACTGCTAAAGCCAGAGAAGTGGACAAAGCCCAGTTGGAACTGAATTTGAGTTTGAATCTCATAAAGTTACAGGTGCATCTGAGAGCAGGCTCAGTGGTGAAGATCAAGATAGCCCAGAGTCCTTCATGGGGGTAAAACCCTGCTTGGGCTTTTTAGCTTCAACCACATGCATACCTTTCAAATCCTGCCATTAACAATATTCATGGAAAATACAGCACTGTATCTTTCACAAGCTCCACTCTGGAATGTTTATGCTCTGAGCTCAGGATAGTTGGGGAACACATTTTTAAATCTTGGTTTTAAACAAAAAGAGAAATTTGTTAAAATGAAGATATAATTGCGCATGGTATATATATTTCTGAAAAGTTATGTATTAATCAATTATATGTTAAAAGCACCAGGAAAAACTGCTTTTTATAGGTGAACTATTATGAATAATTTCATAAAGCAAATAACCACCTCTAGCTTATCTGTCAGGTATATCAGAATTCTCATATATCATATTCTCATAAGATTTGGTTAAAGCAAGATTTATCTTAGGTAGAAAAAAATAGTAATCAGTTATGCTTAGCTACTTTTATCTATAGTGTGGGCAACTTTTTATAACTATTATGTTTTATAATGTCTTCCTGAGAGAATTCCCTGATTTTGTAGTTCATATAAGAGAAATACAATTTTCTAGCATTTTCTGACCTTACAATAAATCAATTATGAGCACGTTTTAACAAATATTAAGGTAGCATAAACCGACAGAATAAAATGTTGGTATTTACTTACATTGAATATCATGCAAATAAACTCAGAAAATGTCACCAAATACTGTGGGCTATATTTCTCAATGATGGGGGAAAGAATTCAACCTTGAAGAAAATGACCAGATCACTTTATGCTTATATCTTCAGTATTAGAAAAACTGCATATATGATTTTAATAGAAATGCTTTTTATAAAGCTACCATTCAGAAATGGGGTAAAATGCAATAACATGTTTCCTTTGTGCATTAAATTCCTTTCTAATTCTAAAATTGACATTTGTATCTTGCTTACGATTTAACATTGTTAATTATAATACTTTTAGTGACTAGTTTTAATCTTACGTTATTAAGAAGTAGAAAACTTACTAAAAAGGAAACGAAAAATAAATGTTGTTTTACAGATTATTGTTTATCTTTTGAGGATTATCGTCTTTTAATTTGTGTGCATCAATTCCCATCTTTTGGGCACTCAACATGTATATTGAAGTATATATACATGTAAAATACATAATAACCTCAGTCTGAAAAGTAATCTCTTAAACCGATATGCTATTTTCTCGGTGAGTTTCCAAACAATTGCTATTTTCTGAATCTGTATTGAACAGGTAGGAAAAGGAGAGCCAGCCTTTCCCCAGGTGAAGTTACTTTTGATATCCCCACAGTCCGGTGACTAATCCTGGGGTGGAAGCAGGCGGCTACTTCAAGTGACCGACCAGGGAGGAGAGGTCCTGCAGCAGCTGACTTGGTGATCCCCCAGGTAAGCCTTCCAGATGGGCCAATTTGTTGGAGACCCCCAGAAGAAGACAGTTAGAACCAATGTGGCAATGGTTATGTGAGGTTTGCTTCCACATCTAGACCTGAAGTTAAAGGTCAGGTTGTACACCCCTTTGTACAGCCACACAGTCATTATATCAAAGCACCTTGCCTTAAGTACTCAGAGAATGTTGGTGGTTGATATATGTGCATAAATGAACCAATTCACCCCTAGTGGGAGGTAATTACTTTCTGTAATGCAATGGCAAAATCTGAGGTTGAAGCTCTTCCTATTTCTATAGTGCCTTACTTATCCTGAGTACTTTATAAATATTCTTTGAATGAACAAATGAGTGAATAATCTCAAAGTAGAAGGTTTCATTCAGAGCTTCTGACATCTGTTTTAAGATGTACTGGAGAAAACATAAGATCCCTGCCTTGAAGTTACCACACAACCTATCCTTCGGATTTTGAATTGCACATATGCTAGGTGGAATTATACGCTGTGCAACCTAACACAAGGAGACACTCTTCAGGTGTATTTTCTTTCCAGATGCATCTTCTTCCTACTCTTGGTAGGCCTTAATTCTACCACTTTTAGGGACTAGGATAGAAAGCTAAGATTTCCACCCACCTCTCCTCTAAGTCCTCACACATGCCATTTTAGGATCTTCCACTGTCTGATATCCTAAAAGCTTTGTTTCAGTGGAAGGAGTTAGTGGGCAAATTATTTAGTCAGGCAAACCAATGCCTGTCTCACACTGATGGACTCAAGCAGCAATTGCTTTAGAAACTCTCCAAAGATGACAATACTTTGACTTAAGCCGTAACAGCAGTTCAAGCTGAAAAAAAAACCCTTATGAATTTAATTCTGCTGTGGCAGGGCATTAAATGAAATCTTGAAAACCATATGCAAGAATATTGTGAACTATAAGTTAGAGTTTTCTAAAAACAAGGTTCCTATCCAATACTTGCATGGTCTGTATAAATGTTCACCACAGCTGCATCTGTTTGGTAGAAGCCATTAACCCACTTACGTTATTTGCCGCATCACCTTTAGTCAGACTTCTTAAATCTAATATGACTGAATTTGGTCATTCTGTTAGCCATTCTCTGCTCTTTTGGCAGTTTATAAACAAACTAAAACCATCACAGTGCCTCCCAAGTATAATTGTACTGGTTGTAAATAATGCTAAGTAGAGATGCTTGAGCTTGGCCTTCTTCATTCAAACAACAAATTTCACTGCCAGAGTTATGCACCCTGATTACTCCTTCACTTTGTATGTTATTGAGGGTTTCTGAATTTGCAATTAGCCCAATGACCAATCTTGATTACTAGGGGAGTGGAATTAGGCTTACAATAAAGCAAAACCTGCCCTCTTGTGTTTTATTAGAAAATTGCACAATGTAGTAAAGTTCTTAAAGCTATTTTCCTCGACCGTGGTTGGTAAAGTTCTTAAAGCTATTTTCCTCGACCGTGGTTGATTGCCTACCCAGAGTGGAAAAAAAGGCTGGAAGATTTGCCATGAATTCAGAAATCAGAACAGATAAAGCCCAATATTTAGAAAGAAACAGTTTCCTACATAGGCTCTCACAACTCCCCTTTCAATCTATTTTGAAATGTTAAATGTTTACCAGTAAGCCAGAAAAGTTTGGAGGAACATTTCAGGCCACTGGGCAAAAACGCTTTTAGGCTTGGCAAATACACACAGAATATAATTTAGTTAAATATTGTTTATATGATCACATTGCAGCTGGAAATTGGGGGAACATATTTTTTCTATTAAAAACTGTCATCAAGAAAATTTGGGGGAAGTATTTAAAACAAATGTTGGATCAATGTATTAAAACTATATATAAATATTTGAACTCAGGTGTGGGTGTGAGCAGTGTCTGAAGATGTCGTTTGGTATAGAAAATTTGCTTTTCAAAGCTAGGAGCCCACGGTGGATTACATTAGGTGATTGGTAAACTCAAATGATAAAGAAAACATGGCCTCTTTCTAGTTTTTATAAACCTTTCCCCTCTAGGGAAATACACAGGTAAAGATTAAAGAGAAACACGTGCACATGTAATTTGCTTGCTTATTCTGGCTAGTTTTCTTTGTCGGAAAATTGGGGCTTCGATTTTCCAGCTATGTCTACCTGCTATTCTTTTCTGGGGTTCTCTCTGGAAGAATACTACAGACCTGGTGATAGTCACTGATTTTATGGAGAGAAAGGAAAAGGAAAAACATAAGTGAAGAAACTGGAGTTTGATTTGAAACACATCAAATGCTGACAGAAGATGCACTCTTTCCTTGAGAAGAACCATTCGCTTACTCCTTATTGATACGTTATATAGCACACTTTGCTGAAGACCTATTTTCCAATGCAGCAAATGTATTATTATTATTATTATTTTATTTATTTATTTTTTTTGAGACGGAGTCTGGCTCTGTTGCCCAGGCTGGAGTGCAATGGCAAGATCTTGACTCACTGCAGCCTCCATCTCCTGGGTTTGAGCGATTCTCCAGCTTCAGCCTCCTGAGGAGCTGGGACTACAGGTGTACATCACTATGCCACGCTAATTTTTGTACTTTAAGTAGAGATGGGGTTTTGCCATGTTGGCCAGGCTGGTCTCCAACTCCCGACCTCAAGAGATCCATTTGCCTGGACCTCACAAAGTGCTGGAAATATAGGTGTGAGCCACTGATATTATTATTTAATACTACTACTTAAGGTTTCATTTCATATTTTTGTTTTTTCAAATAGCAAGATTTGTCTTGATGATTGCCACTAATCAGTTTTTCCTTCCTAAAATTATTTTTGTATTTTGAGTCTTGCATTTCACATCAAGGAGGTGTGCACAGCAGAAACTATGTGTGTTGGTGCTTTAAGTCATTAGGCTCATTTGTACGAACAAATGACTGGTCTTGAAAACAGAAAGGTAATCTCTATAATAATCCGTGCAGTTAGCTATTGCTTCTTTTCCTCTTCTTCAGCTGTGGCAAGCACACAACTTTCAGGCTTTCCTAGCTTGAAGTCTGATTTGAGCTGCCCATTTTCTTTACATTTTAGGCATTTTACAATTCCGAGACGTGTAGCATTTTTATAAACTCAAGGTCGTCTTCTTTCTTTCTGTGCATATCTCTCCTCACTGATGTCCTCTTATCAAGATGCAGGCTTCTTTGTGTTTTTAACATTTTTACTTGAGATATTTCCAACCCTTTGATTCCGTGCTGACTCTAAATCGTTTGCTGTCAGCTACACTGAGTGCAGATCTGGTGCGTCTCCTCTGGGCTGCCGCTCAGTCTGCTGAGCTCTTGACAGCATTATCAGGCCTCTCCAACAATCAAAGGACTCTTGCAACCCAGTAACATGCAAATTTGTTCTTTATCTGCTTCAGTCTGTCACAGCGCACATTTTGCAGCTTAGCTGCACAAAAGCGGGCATGATAAAATCGTTCTGAAGTTGACGCTGGGAGTAATGGGTGTAAATTCATTGTTTTTAAGCAACAGCCACTCACAACATGCAATTACAGTGAACTCACCTTGCAACTAGATGGCTGCCTTTGAGCTGGTTTCCCTTTGCTGGAGAGATGATGCAATTGAGTGGCTTTTATCACAGGGCAATCCGCTCACCTTTGTTGTACTTGTCAGCAGGTAACACCCCTGCTGCTCTCTGGATTTGCCCAGGCTTTTGGGTGTGTGCGTAACTATACACAGTCCCAGGAGAAAACAAATCCTCCTCCAGGTGCAGCAGCTCCTTCCCGGTTTATGTCTGTCAGCTTCCCCGACTAGAACTTGTTCTTTTCCAATGAACTCTAAAAATGCCACCACGAAATATTAATATCAAAAAGCCCACTATATTTTTTTCTATTTGAACCACCAGTAAGTGACTTGACCTCCCTGTATGAAATCTCTGGAATAAGGGTTTTTGGCTCCCATGAATAACATCGTCTTTCCTGAGCCCAGTGACAATTTAGTTTCAATACACTCTGGCGTAATTTTCTCTGTAGACGCGAGCACTGAGTCTGTGGTCAGAGAGGGTTCTCAAGGGATATTTTCAATGGCAAAGAGGCACTTTGGGAATAAAATATGAACAGGCCTCAGCCGACGTGGAAGTGCAACATGTTAGGAGAGAGTTTTTTCTTTTTCCCTTTCCTTTTCATTTATTATTATTATTATTATTTTGTGGTAAGAGAAATGTAACGTAAAATTTCCCATCTGAACCTTTTTAAAGTGTACAATGGAGTGACACTCAGCACGTTTACAATATTGTACAACTGTTACCACCATGTTTCCAGAACTTTTTCATCGTCCCAAATAGAACTCTGTACTGTTAAAAGAGAACTTCAGACAAATTACATTTGATGGAATTTAATTGAGCAAAAAGAAGAATTAACCATTCGTGAATCGGCAGCCCCCAGATTCACAGCAGATTCAAAAAGACTCCAGGGGTGCCTCATGGTCAGAAAAAAATTATAGACGAAAAAAGGAAAGCGATGTACAAAGATCGGAAGTGAGGTACAGAGACAGCTGGATTGGTTACAGGTTGGCGTTTGCCTTATGTGAACACAGTTTGAACACTCAGCAGTCTGAGTGGTTGAAGTATGGCCGCTGGAACTGGCCAACACTCAGCTATTGTTACAGCCTGCATACTCCTAAACTAGGTTTTCAATCTCGTCTTTCTATTAAGCTAGGTTAGGTTTGTCCGCAAGGACTCAAATATAGAAGTACGGGGTCCTTCTCAGGCCACATTTAGTTCGCTTTAACAGTACCGGTTAAATGGTAAGTCCCTCCCCATGCCTCCTCCCACCAGCCTCTGGCAACCTCCAACAAGGCTTTGGGAAGTTCCTACCATCTCCATTCTGAGACCCTCAGCTCTGTGATTTGGATGGGAACCTAACTGTCTTAAACCAATTACTCTATTCCAGACCCTTGGCCGTGGTGTGTCAGCCATGAATGTGAAACTGAAAGCCAAATAATGGAAAGGCACTTTTGCTGAGGGTTCTGAGAAATGAAGCCCAAAGACCAGGTCTCATCCTTGAGTCACATGATATGAAGATATGAGGGCTGGAAATGTAGCAGCCGTCTTACCTGCTAGAGAGCTTATAGCAGGTAAACTCTTTAAAACTTTTAAAAAAATTTAATTTAGAAGTGGTCACTTAAAAAAAAATTAATTTAGACCAGTTTGAGTTGGGGGTTTCTCTTACAAGATAAAGAATCTTAACTAATGAACTCATCTTCAGGGAATTTAAAAAGAAAATGAGGAAACAGAAACATTGGCTTGCTTGCTTGTTTATTTCTAGACACCATATTCCATGATTTTAAGTGAGTAAAAAAATTTTTTCTTTGTTCTTTAAAGATTGCAAGAAACGGAGTGATGTAGCAATTCATAGTGAAGGATGCCAGCAATATATAGAAACAGGAGCTTGTAGTGGTTGAGCATGGCCTCTGGAGGCAGACAGAGAACAGGCATTTAAATTCTAGCTCAGTCATTTATTCAGCATGTAATTTTTCTTTAACTTGTACTTTCTAACTGCTCTGCACTTTAGTTTCCCTGTCTGCAGAAGGATGTTGATGCCCCTCTTGTTCCATTTACACACACACAGAGGCTGTTGTTAGAATGAATTGAGTTGATCTACGTAACTTCTTCAGAACAGTGCCTGTCATTAGATGGGGTGGTTTAAACAACGGAAATGTATTTCTCACAGTTTGGAGGCTGGAAATCCAAGATCAAAGTGTCGGTAGGGTTGGTTTCTCCTGAGGCCTTTCTTCTTAGCTTTCAGGTAGTCACGTTTTTGCTGCCTCTTCAGTCTTTCCTCTGCGCATCTGCACATGCCTGGTGTCTTTTTGTGTGTCCAGCTTTCCTCTTCTCAAAAGGGCCCTGGCCAGTTGGATTAGGACCCATCCTAACAGCCTCATTTAATGTACTCTCCTCTTGAAAGGCCCTGGCTCCAAATATGATTCCTTTCTGAGGTCCTGGGGGTTGGGACTTTAACATATGAATTTTGGGATTCAGCTTGAAACAGAGAAGTTGTTCAATAATATTTAGTTTTTTTTTTAAGTTTTAGATCTGGGGTTACACATGCTTGTTTGTTACATGAATATTACATGTGTAATGGTGAGGACTGGGCTTCTAGTGTACCCGTTACCCAGATATTGAACACTGTACCCAATGGGTAACTTTTCAACCCTCCCTCCGCTTCCACTCTCTCTGCTTTTGGATTCCCAGTATCAATTATCTCCTTCTTCATGTCCATGTGTGCCCACTGTTTAGCTCCTACTTATAAGTGAGAATATATGATATTTGATCTTCTGCCTCTGAGTTCACTTAGGATAATAGTCTCCAGTTCCACCCATGTTGCTGCAAAGGACATGCTTCATTGTTTTTTTTATGGCTGCATAGTATTCCATGGTGTGTATGTACCACCTTTTCTTTTTCTTTTTTTTTTTTTCAAGACAGAGTCTCATTGTGTCACCCAGGTTGGAGTGCAGTGGCATGATCTAGGCTCACTGCAAGCTCTGCCTCCTGGGATCACACCAGTCTCCTGCCTCAGCCTCCTGAGTAGCTGGGACTACAGGTACCCACCACCACACCTGGCTAATTTTTTGTTGTTGTTGTTTTTGTACTTTTAGTAGCTACGGGGTTTCACCGTGTTAGCCAGGATGGTCTTGATCTCCTGACCTTGTGATCTACCCGCCTTGGCCTCCTAAAGTGCTGGGATTACAGGTGTGACCCACCACACCTGGCTATGTACCACCTTTTCTTTATCGGACCCACCACTGGTGGACACTTAGTTAGTTCCATGACTTTGCTATTGTGAATAGTGCTGTGATAAACATCTGAGTGCAGGTGTCTTTTTTTTATAGGCTTTCTTTTCCTTTGGGTAGATGCTGAGTAGTGAGATTGCTGGGTTGAATAGTAGTTCTATTTTTTTTTTTTTCACAATTTTCTATCCTTTTTCTTCACAATGAAATCCGTAGATAACCACCTTGCATTCCAATAAAGTTAAATCTACCCCCACTTGGTTTCCATCTTTGTCTCACACATGTTATTTGTGAAATTTATCACTAGTATTAATCCTTCTCTCTCTCTCTCTCTCTCCTTTTTTTTCCCTTCATTTGGCATTCACTTTTCTAAAATATTAAAGGGTAAACATTAAATTAAATATTCAAATAGGTGCACAAATACTGAAGGAGAGAAAAACCCAACAATTCTGTTGAAAGTGAGCTGTTACCTGACAGGCGACACATAGCACAGCATAGCTCACAATTTTTCTTGGTTCAACGACATAAGCAAATCCAATGTGCAATTTGTAAGGCAGGCTAAAAGTGTCAGTGCGTACTTTCTGGAAGAATATGTTATACTACAACAGTCCAATGTGTGAAAGACAACAAAATATACAAAGACAAATAAATGACCTCTGGAAGGTTAACATTCTAAATCAAAGCCTCCCAGGATTTGGACACATGCTGAGCGGAGAGAAGACCTTCATTTCTCTTGCCTGTTTTGTAAGGCAGTAAATAGCTGAAGCTCTGGGTCGAGCAGTGAGGAGCTAGTCAGCTCTTTTCCTGCCAATCATCCAAACCCTTCTGCCTCTCTCCCACCCCGAAGCTAAGCCCAGGAGGCAAACCGAGAAAAGGGGAGGCTCTGATTATCCAAAGTATGCCTGTGGTAAGTCCAACCTGAGCCTGCCATTAAAGTTGTTGATCTCTTAGAAAGAATTGGAAACTGGGAACATTTTCTCTGGCTTCACTAGCAGAAAAAATGAAATCGGTAATGAAGCAGAAGCACCATGTCAATTGCTTAAAGTTCACTCACATTTAACATTTCACACACCATTTACATTCCAGTTCTCTCTCCACCAAGTAGAAAAGGCAATGGTGCCCCTTGGGGCTTAGCAGGATGGTTGGATCTCCTTGAAGTGCTTCCCTCTCTGTCACTCTCTTCCTTTTCTTCATTTCTCACTCAGTGGTAAGAGATCTTTATGCCAACTGGAACCATCTGTACCTCAGTGACCCACCTGCACATCAAAAAATCACATGGGTTCTTCTGCCATGAATGAAAGAGCAATGAGCTTACAGAGCTAAGTCCCACCTAGCTTTTCAGATCTCTTTCCATACTCTGAAGAGCCTATATTTGAGTCCTGAAGCCAGGATTTCTTGTCTTGATCCATGAAATTTAACCTGCTGCACTGGATTTACCTACCAGATATTCCAAAAAGATTTTACAAATAATAGCAACATTTATAAAAGAAATGCAAGTAGCCAACAAACACAGGAAAAAATGCTCAACATCACTAATCATTAGAGAAATGCAAATTAAAAGCATACTAAGATATCACCTTACACTAATCAGAATAGATATATATTTATATTTATATTTTTTTTTCCGAGATGAAGTCTTGCTGTATCACCCAGGATGAAGTGCAGTGGTGCGATCTCAGCTCACCGCAACCTCCACCTCCCAGGTTCAAGCACTTCTCCTCCCTCAGCCTCCTGAGTAGCTGGTTTTACAGGTGCTCCCCACCACAACCAGCTAACTTTTTTTTTTTCTTTCAGTAGAAAAGGGGTTTCACCATGTTGGCCAGGCAGGTCTTGAACTCCTGACCTCAAGTGATCTGCCTGCCTTGGCCTCCCAAAGCGCTGGGACTACAGCAGAATGGCTATTATTAAAAGGCCACACAACAACAATGTTGGCTTGGATGTGGAGAAAAGGGAATGCTTGTACACTGCCGGTGGAAATGTAAATTAGTTCAACCTCTGTGGAAAACATAGAGTATGAGACTATCTCAAAGAATCAAAAATAGAACAAAGTCCTAAAGTATATATCCTCAGAAATTACATCATAATGGTGAGGTGTAATTAGGAATTTTTGTAAGTATTTTAAATTCTCTGAAAATACATATTTATTGCTGAATTTTTATTTCCAACTTCTTTGGATATTCACTGTGATTAACATTAGAATCTGCTGCTCTCAGATACGTGCTGGAAGGCTAATTTTAACCTGCAATCCTAATCTGAACTATTTTTTTTTCATTAGGCCCTAAAACATAAAAATAATGTCTATTTATTTAAACGAAGAAAATAAGCTTTTATACATCTCCCCTTTCCCCCACTGGAGATTATACACTTCCTGAACAAAATTTAAAGAAACAAAGGCAGATATAATTTGGCTCTTTTACCCCTTATCACTATTACGAATTCAATACTTAACAAATGAAAATCATATTCCTAACCCTGATTAAAAAGACTTTCCCCCCCCGCCCCCCAGAAAGTAACAGGCATGACTGAGATAGTAACCTTGGGGTCCAGCTATGATTACATCTCTTTTTTTCCAGTTAATTACTATGTGACCAGCTTGCTATAGTAGTGGGAAATCCAGAATATCTTTCTGAGCTTTCCCCTCTTGATTACTCAAAATTGCCTGAGGCTTATGTAGTCCTCAGTCTGATTTCCACCCCTAGGAAGGAAGCACTGGTGGTTTATTAATCTCCTCTTGCTGTTATTTCTCATTAGCCCATGGTGTGGGTTTTGAAAGCTGGCTGTTAACAGTCCAGCAGGTGACGATGGTCCACTCTATACTGCAAGGATCATGCGCTGTTCACTCATTTGTCTACCGCCGCCTTCTCAGGAGTGCTGGACTTTTCCAGCGTGCAAGGTGTGGCCTCCTCTGGTGGCAGCTGTTGAGTTCGCATGACACTTAATGCCCCAAAGCAGAGGTATATATGCTACCATATAAAGTGGTTAACTATAGATCACTAACTAATTACACTAACCACAGTAGTAACAGTAGTGAATAACAGTGTCTTTTTCACTTTCTGTAACAACAATTATTTCCTTCCCTGATTAGAAAAATTGGGAGAAAGAAGAGGGATAGGCCAGGAACAGAAGGAGTTACAAAATTCCTACAGTCTACTATATAGGACAGCTTGGTGATCTAATATCCACTTTCTGTTTATGTTGAACCAGATTTTCTTAAAAAGCAAATAAGAAGCTAGGAACAACACAACAACAAAAGATACCTCTTACCTCCATCCTTCCACCTCTGTAGAAATATTTCATTTGATTGAAAATGAGAGATGGAAAA